TTTGGTTGGTACCAACTCTTCATGTTTCTTTGTTTGTCATACTGATAATACAAGGTAACTGCTATAACAAGGGATTTCATAAAGTCCCAAGAACCTTGTCATATCAGTGTTCCACTGTATGTTTTAAACTCATTTTGCATGAAGAGGAAGACTCTCAACTCCTGAACATCTCTTCTGGTGTAGTGGCACCCGAAACTGTCAAGACTGATCTTATGTCTGCGTATCAAAGAGGGGATAAAAGGCTGGTTGAGCGATTGGTCGAAAGAAAAAAGGATGTGTTTGATCGTCACAGTCTTCCCACTGGCAAGACATTTTCTAGCATTGACAGAAAACAAAGGTCGAAAAACATCTCTCACATATGCATCTTTGAAGGAAAACAGGAGCTTAATTGCAAGGATGCTCATGGTGGCCCAGGAAAAAGGACTTAATTTGAGAGATGTTGTAAGATACCCATTATGATGTTCAGTATCCCCTGCACTTGCCAGGTTTGATGGTTGTGTGGCCAAGACCAACAAAGCAGCTTCATGCACGAACTATTGCATGCTGTCTGAGAAGCTGTGAAAACAGAATCTTCTCCAAATGCAGATGTTGTAATTGTTGATGCCATGGCAATGATTCAGCAGCAAAAATGCTTCCCATCAACATTTGGTGATCTGGCAGACCATCTCCTTAAGCAGTTGGTGACAATAGTAAGAAAGCGTTGTGCACGACGAGTAGATTTTGTTGGTGATAGATACCTGAATACATCCATCAAGATGTCAGAGCGAGATAAACGGAGTTCTGCTGGCCACACACAAATCCACATTCAACAACGAGATCAGAAACTCCCCAAAATGATGAAAAAATTCCTTGTATGTGGTACAAATAAGCAGGGGCTACTAGAATTTCTGGCCAATGATTGGAGGATTTGTTCCCCAGATGTTCTGGGGAGTATTGTTGTGTTTGTCACCTGTCATGAAAAGTGCTTGCAGATTTTTCAAGATGAAGATGGCAAAACTGCTTTTAAGGATGAGCCAGATCTTCATTTTGATCAGGAAGAGGCAGACACCAGAATGGTTTTCCATGTGAAGCATGCATCCCAGTCTTCCCCAGATGTCAAACCCATCATCATCCGCACTGTTGATACGGATGTACTCATCCTACATGTAGCTGTATGGGCATCAACACTGCTTGTCCCACAAATTGTTCTTCACGTGACCACAGCCAGTAACGCAAACTTTGTGGACACTACCATGGTCAGTAAACATCTTGGTGAGGCAACTGCCTGGTTGCCACATAATAATGTAACGAAAAACCTTTCTGTTGTCTAATTAGAATAACTTTTTTGTGTTTGCTCATGGCGTATTGCTTGCTGAGAATTTGGCTTGTTCTTTTCTTAACCAGGACTCTTTTGTTAAGTTGGATAGGCTTGAGCAGAGCTCAGTGTGCAGTCTGCAGATCAGTCATTTACATTTGAATTATCTTGTATCACCAGAGAATGGAGGGCCACTCCCTTACATTCCTTCTTTTGAAAACCGGGTTGGGCACTCTGTATAAAAACTAGAGCCCACTATTACCTGTCGAGGATTTGCGACTGGGTGTTGGCAAAGGCAACAGGCAACATGCTGTTTTGATTTGTTTCTGTTGCATGTACATGTATGAATGCCACTTCTGAAACATGTGGATATCCTGACAAATTCTGTCAGTTTATTTTCTATCTTCATGCATTTGTGCCCTGTGCCTCATCTCAGCCGTGCCTGTAGCTCCTGTAGTTCTGTTATTGTTGTACAATTTACTGGTTGTGCTGTATAATTGTAGATGCAGTAATGAGTACTGACCAAACTGTTTAAAGATGGCACTTGATTCAGTTACTTGCTGGCTAGAGCCACGAGCTAATTAGATTGTGAATTACAGCCGAGAAACTATTTGGGCTGATTCAACGAATTGAATCCATACTGTCAAATTGTAAATATTTGAAATGATGCTATTATTTTTGTTCATTAATTAAATGCCAGAGGCCAGTTGCGAATTTAAAAATAGTTCTGTTCTGTTTAGTTAATTTGTGTGTGTGTTCCCACTACTGGTGGAGTCCTAATTAAAGGGATTCGTTACAATAATCTTCTAGAAAATATCCAGCGTCGGGCGACTTGGTTTATTTGGGGTCAGAAAAGCGGCGTTATATCATATGTTGAAAGACTACATACTCTTAACTGGCCCATTTTATCCAATCGGCATAATTTTGTGGTGTTGTCTTAAGTATCCAAATGTTCGTTTAATATGTCAAATGTTAGTTGTGTAGTTACAGAGTAGCACTAAATTGTAGGCATTCACACGTCATTAGCTTTAATTATCTTCAAGCCAGAACTCAACCTTTACACTTATCATGTTTTCATCTGTTTTCTAGTTTATGGTCTAACCTCCCTGAATATGTTTGTAATGCCATCGTCTTGAAGCCCTTCTCAAGTTTTTTCACATCGCTAAAAAAGAATGTTTTCTATCCGGACTAATCAACTGTAGCATACTGCCCACACATGCGCATGTACAGTATCTCTTTAGGCTAGAATCCTCTTAAGTATCGAGGTATCGTCATAACTGATACAATTTTAGTGACTTCACAGTCAATCATGGTTCTCTCTCCTCCCTTTTCATTTTAAATGTATTCACATGCTCGTTTATCTCATGTTGTGTTATGTTGTATTAATGCTTAATGTATTATGCTATAATTTGTTAATTTTAAACTGGGAAGTATCATCTATTTGTTATAGTCAGTTATTGTTTTGTTACTTGTACATGTATGTCCTTTGTCTTAGATATTGGGTATCCTTTTAAATGATTAAAACAATAGCAATATTTCCTATAAATATAAGTGCATCATGAGATTAAGCACAGCCTCACAGTGGGAGCATCCAGTGCAAGATCACTTCATGAGAAATGAAAAATTTACAACAAAGTCTGACCAGTGAGGAATGAGAGCCCTTCATAAAGAAAGTTATGGCAAATTCTAATAAAAAAACCCACCAGGAGCAGGGAGATTCTTCAAGCATCGCTGCCCTGAAGAAAGGTAGTTGAATGAATGCGAATGGAGGTGGAAATAACCAGCAGGACTGGAAAGAGAAAGTGCCCCACCAGAAAAGGATGGACCCTAGTTACAGGGCCCACCAACGGCAACAAGAGAGAGATGAGTTTAAGGCAGCCACAGCAGCCAGTGCCAAAGAGGCAGGTATACGGATGGGTAGGACTTACAGGGCTTTGACTGAAACATCAGAGAGTGAAGAATTCCTTGACTATGCAGTTGAAGAGATTTTCAGTTGAAAAAACTGCTGGTCTACAGATCAAAAAGGGCAAAGAAAGCAGTGACAGAGAGTTCTGAGAAGGAATCCTCAGAAGGAGAAGAGGAGAGTTACACCACCCCCCCACCACCACCTATTAAGTCCAAGAAAGCCTAAAAGAAGTCCTTACCCTCTCAGGAAGAGCTGAGTGCGAGTATGGAGAGTGGACCATCCATCCTGGTCACTGTGGAGGAAACTGATAGTGGCACCACCCCTCAACAAAACAGGCCTAATCAAAGGAAGGAAAAAAGACAAAGATAACGAAGAAGACCATGGAATATCTCCCTGCTGGCTCCGACAATGACCACCACCACACCCTGGATGAGGACGGGTAGACCTGTACCCAGGATGACGTTCCTGTCATCCTTTCAAAGGGAAAAAACACCTCACCCTACATTCAGGAATAAAGAAGGGCATTGAGCTACTTTGAGTTTTTTCCCTTTTCCCTCTTTCTGATGTGGATGAACAGGAATCTGGGTGCCCATGCCCTCAAGCTGACAAATATTCAAGAGAAATGAGCCTGGCTTGGGATTCATATCTAAATGGGAATCATAGAGATCTCAAATTACAAGAAAATACTGGTCCGCGTATCCCTCGGATATCCACCATATTGAGCCACAAAAGATTTGATACCCTGAATCAGTTACTTACCTGCAATGTCCTGGCAAATGACCCAAACCTCGTCAGAGACAAGGGAAATACCTCACCAAAAAACAATCCCTTGTACCCCCTCCAACCCCTGAGGGATAAAGTCCTGAAGAAACGTAGAAAGTACTATCGTCCTCATCATAAGCTGGCCATTGACGAAGCAACCATTTGTTACAGAGGTTTCAAGGCCAGTGTCAGAAAGTGCTTCAGGCCACTGAAACCTATCGGGGTGGGATTTAAGATATATACACTTGCCGAGTCAGCGACAGGAGCCATCCTCAATTTCATGATGCATCCAGCTGGATCAAAGCAAACATAAATGGTTTACATTACCAGGAAGGTTGTGAAGCATCACTTCGGTGTGTACCATTTTTGCTGGCAAGTTATACACTTCCGTGACCCTTGCACACAGACTTCTGACCAGCAAAACCTATTTCACTGGTTCCGCCAAGAGGCACTAAAATACAACCACAAGACTTTACTACTTAGGACATAAACCCACAGAGAAAGAAAATTCTCAGCATGAACTGGGCAAAGAGATGCACCTTCAAAGTCGCCAGAATGGTCAGCTAACCATGAAATTTGTTAGGTTTAGCATGCTTTCTAGTGCAAAAGTTTCGAGGGTTAGGGTTGAGGTTCAAGTGAGACATATAACTCAACTGGCTGGTAATGTTCCAAACAGTCAATATCCATGAGTGCTAATCAGAAGCCATTAAACCAACACGTTATATGGTGCAACATCATGCCCAAGGTCACGATAATAGCAATACTAACAATCTGGCAAATGGAAATGAGGATGACCTGCTAACCTATGGGATCGCAAAACATTGTGGTCAGAAATTCCAAAAATTGCATTTTTCCTTTAAAGAATTTCTATCCAAAACATGCAAGCTTACAGAGGTTTAATGCTGCTGCAGTTCTCCCACTTCAGGGGGTACACTGCAGGGGACTAGTTTGCAAACACAGTATTATGACATGAAAGTGTTCAAACAAATGCCGTCATACATTTCACTGCATGTACATAAATAATGGACGAGAAACAAGTTTGCAGACTGAGTGAACCGTCATAGTTTTATCTTGTTCCCTATGACACTTCTTTCATTCATTGTTTTGTTGTTAAATATCAAAAATAAAAGTACATGTGCATTGATTGATTCATTAAAGTATGCTCCCATGTTGTAGCATGGTCAATGCAGCTGGTAGCCTGGCTGTTAGGTCCAAGACATTCATGTTGACGGCAACCATTCTACAAACGTAAAATGTGGTGTGAAATGTTGCATGCTGCATGTATGCTGAGCCAGTGTGGCCTATTCAAGGATCAGGGCAAGTGGAAATACAATGTAAGATGATTTCTTTCTCTACTTTTGCACTTTATGTTGGAATTCTGGATTAAACAAGACTAAAAAGCTGGAAATTGCTAAGTAGAACAGTGTCAAACATTGTGGCATGGTGTAGACTATACTCACAGCCATTTGTATCAAGCACAATCTACACTCGCATCCATTCAGCTCCCATCTTTTTAGGAGTGTTACGTCATAACATATGTATTATTGGGGAAAAGCGTATGGTCTTATTTCCAACAAATTCCCTCATGCAATAGAAAAATAAAAAACTAGAAAAAGAAAAATTGCACTACATAGCAGTTCTGAATGGGGATAACTCCAAGAGGTGATACAATTTTATGCCTGACATGTGGCTAGAGATGGCATCTGACAACTACAACGCCAAAAGCATTAGCAACTTTACAAACCTGGAAAATGGCTGACAGGAATTACAGTAATTTTGGATAATTCATCTATTCACTTTAAGTTTTGTCTGAACCAGGAAAAACTGACTGTGGTGTACGTGTATCTTATTCTAGTTTACAGTGTTCAAGAAGTCAAATCCATTAGTGCAAGTCAGAAGCCATTATACCCACACATGCCATGAGGTGCAATATCATACCTGGAGTCACAATTATAGCAATATTAAATATCTGACAAAGAGAAACAGGGACGGCTCTGTCAGAACAAACTAGTACAAGTTTTCCAATCCTAAGCGAGAGACAACTTTTTGGTAAAAAGGAATTTTGACAGGTCTCAGTTCCCAGTAAATTAAATACTGTACCACTTGATAATATGCAATATACAACAAAAAGTGGAATTAAATAAATATAAGCATGTAATTTGATGCTCGAAACAGATTACCGCTTCCCGAGGATCAGTCTTGTTATTAGCTCCTCAAGAAGGGTACGACAGCCTGCATGAACTCTGCTGGTTTTTCAGAATGAACAAAGTGCCCAGCACCTTCTACTGTTGTAATTGTTGCAGTGGGGAAAAGCATCTTTATTGCAGGAAGGTTCTCCACTCTATTCACAAGAAAATAAAAATACAAAATAAATCAACTGGTTGACTGGGCAAAGAAAATCAGCTCTACTGCTTGACTGCAATTGGAAGTGTATATTATTTAACCCAAAAGGAGCTGGAGGGGGAAGCCAAATCTATCCCCCTTTGGCTTTTTACCGATATTGATGCAGTGCATTTATTCAGGAGCTGAGCCTTTGGGAGTATTAAGAGTAATTCTTTGCGGTCATTTTGGAACCATTGTTGTGAAAATCAAACATACCGTCGTTGCGCAGTGCCTATTTTTCCGAGACAGGTCAGCCCAAAATGTATAATCTTTCCACTATGGTGCTCAATGTACATGGGAAGGCAAGCATTTAGCCTTGAACTTCAAATGACCGCAACAGCAACACCATGTCTGATTGAGTTCAAATCTATAATGATAATGAGTGTCTTTACATGCATGCCAATTTTAAAATAAATCTAGAGTGGCACGGCAGAGTTCTTAGAGGACAGAATCTCTCCTCCTCTCCGGCTGTGAGATGCGCTAAAATAACCCAGCTCTTTGAGGATTAAGAACAGCAGGATTAATTTGTATAAAACATGAAGACATTACGATCCACGAGTAATGGAGATTCATTTGTACCTGACATAACTAGATCTGCCACCCCTGATGAAGATCACTGGCCCATCATATCTGGTGTGGCATGTTGGTAACTCAGCTAGGATGTCCTGTATACCAGCCTCCAAACCATCAAGGTGAAATCTCCACTGGCAACGCCCATCCCGTTCAACAACATTGGTCAAAATAAACTGTAAGAGACCCATGTCCTGTAGAATAAAGCCAAACAGGATAGACATTAGTAACAGCCACACTAGCATGCTTAATACATGTACATGTATGAAGACAAATACTAGGAGAAATAAAGGTTGCAATATACATGTATATGTGCGTAAAACTATTTTAAAATACTTTTTAATGTACATGTACATGAAAGCTACATTTTTAAAACCTATTACCATCACTTACTTTAGAACGAATGAAAATATGAACATTTGAGTGATTTACAGATTTCACGGTAAATCACGTTTTCTGAGGTTCTTAAAAGCACAACTGTAGTAATTTTGATTTGTGAACATTTTAATGGAACAAAGTCTAAGTCTAAGTTAATCGTATTACCAAACATTTAGAGGTACAGTCCATCAATTACATTTATCCAAGAAGTCACTGACAAAAATTATTGCTGAAAAGCATGCATGGTATATGGGACTAAAATCACTGTGAAATCATTGATCATTCTCTCTGGTAAGCTGTCATGTTGAAGAGAATGAAAGAAGGCCCTCTCCAAGGATGTATCTGAAGATGCACTTTTGGAAAATTGTTATTAGAAGCACCCACAAGCATTGACAGGACATGTGCGCATCGTTACTATAATTCGTTGGTTGAGTTCGGGACACTGCGTAGCTGCTTTTGACTGAATGAGAGAATGTGTCCCAGACATTGAATTCAGGTGCAATTCAAGACATAACTTGGCAATGTTTGATCTGAATCATCCTACAATATTGTTTTTCTCGAAATATCCCGTCTCCACTGAGCTTAAACCTTATCAGAGTCGTTCTTAGGCACCCTTCTTTAGAGTTGGAGTTATTTTGTTGCCTCAAAGAAAAATAATGCATAAATGACAGACTGTACAGGTACCTTTAAATAGAAACCAAAATTCACATTTTGAACCATGTATATTGGTCTCTTGCCATCACGTTTTACTTTAACCCTAACCCCCCAAGGGTTGCTTGCCCTAACCTTCCCCATTTACACAAAGTTAAAAACCCATATGGAAGTTTGTGCACAGAGGCTGTTGGATTTT